TTGTGGATGTGAAAATGATGAATGATTGATATATACGCATATAAATATTTTCTTTTCTCACCGTATAAATTGTGGATATTTTAGGTGAAGAAGATCCTGCTACGAGTGGCATCTAGAATGCCAACAGTTAAATTCTGGGAATGCTCTGATAGTGTGGCATCGGGGCAGAGGATTTTTAGGATAGAATATTTATATGGATTTGGTATTGTAATGAATGAAGTTTCTTTGAAAATCTGTAAACTCTTAAATTTTACCTTTCAAGTTTTATTTTTCAGTCTTTTATGTGAACCATTTTACCAACTTTGATTAAGTTTATTCTTCTTAATTTTATTATATTATTTCGATGTATGTGTTAGGGTAGTAAGGGTGTCACAATACTTAATTTGAAAAGATCTTAATTCATATATATGTGTGTGTGTGTGTGGAGAGAGAGAAAAAAAAATGTATTTACTCAAAAAATAAGTTTTAATAGACTTATTCAACTATATAATTCACATTTTATATCAAATTTCAACAAAAAAAGTATTAAGTTAAAAGTTTTTAATTCATAATTTGATATTTTGTTTTATTAATTCAAATTCATATTAATCATAAAAGTATTTTATACGTTGATCTAAATTAATAAAAATATTTTTTAATTTTTTTAAAACTTTGTAAACTTAATATGTATATTAAAAAATTTTAATTCAACGATTAGATCGTTAAAATTTAATGTTAATCACATAAGCTATCGAGTAAAATAAGTAAATTTCTCCTTTTTATATATTATATAATATATATATATATATAATCTTTTTATCTCCCTCTAAATTGAGTCTCCAAACTTGAGCTTATCAACTTGAACCTTCCGCTTTCATGACAAACTTCTCATTTTTGTTTTCCTTCAAAAAGTTGACTTAAAAAATGTCGGGTTAAGTTCTGATTTACGTCAAGCATCAACACAAACTTTATTAATTCAAGGCATTTTTACGTGAATTTTTTTGGGTTTAGATAAATTTATTTTTAGTCCTTTAAAATTAAAAAGTGATCCACCTTTTTAATTTTTTAGTTTTAATAAATTTTATTTTAATTTTTATATTTATATTTTGTTGTAAAATTTATTAAATATTATTACATAAAATTCATCTATTGTATTTTTATTAATAAAAATATCATATTAAATTTAGTTAATACTACATAATTATCTATCTTAATTTGTTTAAATATATTATTAGTATTCTAAAAAATTAAGATAATATTTTTAAAAATTATAAAGATTAAAAATAATAATTTTAAATTAAAAAAA